CCACAATATAATAAAATTTAAAAATAAATAATTTTAGAGACCAATAAAACCTCCAAACTACCTTGATTCATCAACTACACTTAAGTTAAACACTACAAAATAGCAAACAAGACCTCTTCTTTTTAAAAAAATTTAAAGAATCACATCACAGTTTGGATTTGGCTCCCTTTCCTTAGAAACAAATTTGATAGCCATTCAAGGCAACTATGTTTATTCTCTAACCATTTGAAGGAGACACAATGAAGGGCTGTCAATCCCCGGGTAAAACAACAGGAAATACAATTTTTACTTCACATGAAATACTTCTCTTAACGAAAACAAAAGAACAAATCTACTGCACTTCCATTTCATTTGGGTGTTTGAAGAAGAGGTGAAGAGACATCACTGGTATATTAAAAGGGGTCTTTGGCCCTGGCTGGTGTGGCTCAGTTGGTTGAGCGTCGTCCCATGTACCAAGAAGTCTCAGGTTCAATTCCCACTCAGGGCACAGGCTCCATCCCCAGTAAGGGACCTGCAGGAGGTAGCTGATCTATGTTTCTCTCCCTCTACCTTCCAATGTCTCTAAAATCAATAAAAAACATACATTTTCTTTAAATGTTTAAAAAAGAGGGAGGGATCTTTGGATTCTAGAGAATTTCTACCCTACAGTTTTTATTTAAATGCCTGGAGCAAGCCTCTTTCTTTCTCATCAGTTCCTCTGGCTGCAAACAAGGGTCAGGGCATAGGTAAAGGGAATGCATGGGAAGAATGTAAAGCATAGAGAGTATGAGCAACAGATGTGAAACTAGGCATATTTGAGCTCAAACTTGCCTTCTTTGCTTACAAATGTAATCATTTTGAGCAGGTTACTTAACCCTTCTAAACCTCAGCTTCTTCAGCAATAAAATGGAATAGCCACTATCTATTGGGATCATTGTGAAGATCAAAAGAAATACTGTTTGTAATGTATTTAGCATGTGCTTGCTGGTTGTTCTTATAAAAAAGACAAAATACATTTGTTACTGCAGATTTCTTACCACTACTTATTATGGAAAAAATTTATTAATTCCACTAACAACGATAAACATTTGAATCCCCAGCACAGAGTGGGAAAGAGTTCTTACTTTGAGGAGGAATGGATAGAGGAAAGACATGAAATAAAGCAAGTAGAGTAAAATCTTAATTGCAGAATCTGGGAGGTGAGTATACATGTGCTCACCGTAAAATTCTTTACCTTTTTGTACGTTTTAAAATTTTCAAAATAAAATGTTAAGAAAAAATTCAATGCAGAAAAGAAAATTTAATAGACTGTAGACAGTCAAATTGAATTAGAACAGAACAGAAAACCATACATAGCAAAATAACTTCAACACCACCAGAGCTGTCCTAACTCTGGTGAGACAGATAACATTACCAGATGAACTATGTCACACACATGAGAACTGTCCCACTGCTGGAACCTGCATGTCTTGGTCAGAACAATAACAGGTGGATGGAGAGATATATTTAGATCTAAGAAAGACATTTATCTCACAGTTCTCCTCCACCGCACAAACAGACCTTCCATTTCTAGGTCACTGTTTTCCTACCTAATCAAGAGGATGAAAATAGAATGATATGCTAAATTCTAAGAGTCATTGCAGAACAATTGACGCTTAATTAAAGTAAAAAAGATGCCCTGTCTTGTCTCCTCCCTCTTTCTTCCTGGCTTTTTTGTCATTTTATACATAGATTCCCACATAGTTTTTCTCTTATTTCTTTGAAACAAACTTCTGTATAAAATCAAGACTAGGAAGTCAACCCTTAATTCCCTGCATGTAAGTCATCTGCCCCTGGAAGTAGACACCCAGAAAAAAGCATACAAATATTGGCTTCACTTCCCAACAACGTAATATCAGCTTTCCAACTACCATTTCATAAAGACCATGCAAGACTTTGGTGAAAAGTGCCAGAGGGTTAGGGAGTCCTAAGAGAACATGGGCAATCCAAGCTAAGTTAGAATAAATAGGGCAGGCATGGACTACAACCTACTTTTAGCAATAATTTGGAAGAAGAAATAGCATTAAAAAGCCTTATGTGTAGAAAATATCTTCATGGGTTGCAGATTAGACAGTAATCAAAATCTTTATTATCATTATTATTTTTTATGTAAAAAAATAAATTAATATCCTATAGAGAGAAATAAATTTTGTGTTTTTGAGATTTTGACTTATAAGAAAGAGTTATAAACACCTGGCTTCTAAGAAATGTATAGTCACAGAACTTCTTTAATCTAAATGTTGTTTTCACTTCATTTACTAAAGACCCGTAGATCACACTGTTCAGGGCTAAAGCAAATTATAATCCAGACCTCCTCATATTTCTCTTTTCCTTTATCCTAGTCAAGGACTCTTATCTAAACCACTTGGCCTCCTGCTGCAGAAATGATTTATATTATTAAAGGTTTGCTCTCAAGAGGGGAAAATACGGTACTTAACCACTAACTATAGTAGTAAAATGTCAGTAATGTACTATTGTTAGTACTCAAGCACATTGTATTTCACATAAATTGTAGTCCAGATGAACTATACTTTAATAACGTGATCCCAGGCCTCCAAAGCCACTACTGGGCCAGCTATTAGTGATCAGAGATCTGGGATGGAAGTTTGCATGGTGACAATAACCACCATGATTCAGTGAGCACTTACTGTCTGCCAAGCATTGTGTGACAGGCATTATTTATGTCATGTTTAATTCTCACAACCATCTACAAAGATAGGTATTATCACTTCCAGGTTTTTCTGGCTTGGGAAGGTGAAATAACCTTATCAAGAGGATTCTATCCATTTTAAAGCCATGGAAGTACGATGTTGGCCAAGTTATTTTCGTCCCTAAGCCCCATTTTTCTTCATCTATCGAATGAGAAGCATACTACCTGCCCTTCAAAGGGCTGCTGTGAGAGTGAAGTGAACTAACGTCAGTAAGGCTTATAGCATGATGCCCCACACCTACTACATGAGCAATAAACATCAACTAATGAGATATTGACTACATTTTTATGCCTTCCTGGAAATTTTTACATCCTTAAAAATTCCCAGAGTTCTTATCTTTTTTTTTAATTCATCTGTATTTAAAGTATTCTAATACTTATCTCTCAGGACACTATGTATTGAGATGTTTAAAGGTTTCCCTTTTTTTTTCTTTTCTGGTAGGCAAGAGAATGGCAGCATAGAAGATAGAGATAATAAAATATCATCTTTATCTGAGAGTTATCAGCCTTCCCTATTATCTTGTTCCTCAGTTTTTCTCAGTACCATTATATTCTGCATACAACTGTTGTACATGTATTTATCCTTCTAAGGCAAAAAGTTATTAAAACCCTACCACCAACATCTGACTTCAAGTACAAAATATCCCAGATTTAAGTGCTATAATCATATCAGCCATGTAGGTAATATAAGTCTGTCTCAGTTTTTAGAAATATAGTCATGTGCAAATGATTTATCTCAGCTTCACTGTGTTAAAATTACCCATCAAATTTATATTCCCCATTCATCATCCAAATGCATAAATGAAATTTTCAGCTAACTTGTAAGACAGCAAAAACTTTTCTTACCATACAAATATGTCTCCTATTGCTCTCAGCTCTAAATAATATAAAAATAGCTGTTTAACTGACAAAAGTCAGTCAATTTTCATCCTTTCTATGTGAGTAACTTTTGTACTAAGTTGTAGAAATAAATAGTATGTCACCCTTGGCATACTTCCGCTGAACAGTTCTTTCCCAGAGTCACTGATTCATTCAGCACAATGTTATTTAGTGCCTACTATGTGCCAGGTTCCTGAGATACAAACACTGAGCAGATAGATCACGTGTGTACTCTAAAGGAGGCTACAGTTTTGTGGAAAAGACAGAAATGCAATGAATAATCACATGATCACTACAACTGAAACGAGTGCTACTACAAAGAGGAGTGTTCCACATGACCATAATGGGAGGATGTGACCTAGTTAGGGAGGTCCAGCGGGCTTTTTCAGGAAAGTAATTCTTGAGCTGAGGTGCGATTAATGATGATTAAAGGTTAATGAAGTAAAGAGGCAAGAAGAACTTTCTAGACAGAAGGGAAGAAGGAGCATGGATAGGTGAAAGAAGGCCAGTGTAGCTGCAGCACAGGGACCAAGAAGAAGCTTGGCTGATGCCAGAAAGGCAGGTGAGGACTGACACAGGTCCCTGTGGTCATGTTCAAGAGGCTCATTTTTATCCTGAGAACAATGGGAGGAGGCTGAAGGGTGGTGACATGATCTGATTTGTATTCTGACTGCACTGGGGAGACTATATTATAGTATATCACAGGGGAAGGAGATAAACCAGTTGGGAGGCTGCTGCAGTGATCCAGAAACAGATTATGGCAGTTTGGACCAGACCAGTAATGATAAAATTAATATTCAGAAGATACATGTTGACAGCACCAGATGTCAGTACTGTGCTATGAGCTGTGCACACATTAACTCTTGGAATTCTCACAAACAACATGTGGCGTGGGTATTCTTTACCACATTTTATATATAAGAATATTGAGGCAGGTAGAAATTTGTTCAAAATTCATGTGTTAGGCAAAGTGAGAGCCCAAACCACTCGTTATTCAACTTCAAAGCCAACTACAAAATTATTATGTAAAAATTAGAAATATAGTTAAAAAGGGTCTCTGTAACGAAGTTTCAAAACTTAAAACAAAAGCTCCTTGACCTATTTCACCAAGGTCCCAAGTGATAAGGCCTGAAGAAGAACATGGTCTTAAAAAATGGAGGCTAGCCCGGCTGGGCATGGCTCAGCGGTTGAGCATCGACCTAGGATCCTGGCGATCAGGGTGTGATTCCTGGTCAGGGCACATGCCTGGGTTGTGGGCTGCGGCCAATCAATGACTCTCTCATCATCGATGTTTCTATCTCTCTCTCTCCCTTCCTCTCTCTGAAATCAATAAAGATATATTAAAAAAAACAATGGTGTCTACTATGAGGTTCTATACTTATAGAAGGCATACCTATTTCAACATATCGACTCGGCAAGTCCCTCATTTCACTGGCATGCCGTTCCTTCACTGAGCATATCTAGAAAAGAAATTCACAGGTTATTTTATTCATTTGATGGAAAACTCTTCATAACATTTCATTCAATATATACTTTCATTAAATTAGCCATGTAGCACTGATGATGGAGTGCACACAATCTACCCACTGACTTAAATGACAAAAATTAATTTCAATGACATATAGCAACTGCTACTTATATTCTTCAACAAAGTCTTATTCAAAGGCAAAGAAAGAAAAAAACCTATAATATAGTTTTTAATATGTTTCCAATGACCCATTCTCTGCAACTCTACTTAAGGGTTACTGGCAGAAGTACATTTCCAAAAATGCCCAATGGCTAATTTGGGCAACATTCATACTAGGTCTTGTGCTTCTGATTATATATTGGTAATTTATTTTACTGTTGTTAAATAATACTTTGGAAAAGTGGTACATACTCTTAAGTATATTAAAATCAATGTGCTACATAATTTAAATCAGGGTTGGTAAACTACAGCCTGGCCCAGGCCTGTTTTTTTAAGGTCTGTAAGCTAAGAATAGTTTTTACATTTTTAAAGGCTAGGGAGGGAGGGAGGGAGGGGAGGAAAATATTCAGCAGAAACAGAATATACCTTATAAAATCTATAATATATAATGCCAACCCTTTACAGCAAGTTTGCCAATCCCTATTTTAAACTATATGTATATAGTTTGGATATATATATGTATATACATATAATATATATAATTTGAGTATTGTGTATATCTATCTACCTATCTATCTATCTATCTATCTATCTATCTATCTATCTATCTATCTATCTATCATGTATTTATCTGTTACACACAACATACAACACATGGTTGTTTTAGGGTGATAAGACTATAGATACTTTCTATATTCCTTGCATATTTTCCACAGAAAATATAGTCTATTTTGTAATAAGACACCAAAAATTTACATAAGTTCAGCCATGGAGGTAAAAAATCTAAAGTTAAATACTGATCATAACCCCTTCCATCAGGGATCAGGTTTTTTTCCTTTCTCTTTAGATAGTATTTATTGTGTTCATTTATAGTTGCTATCCTAAGTACAGCTACAATATAGAAAACTATAAAATACAGAAAAATCCAAGGGCAAAATACAAATACTATTCACTGTCCCACCAAAGTGAACACCATTGACCATCTTTTAAAAAAATCTTTCATAAACCTAACAATTTACTACAAATAATAATATATTATTTATTCTTGGAAATATTCTCCCATAATTCTTTAATGTCTTTATAGCATTTCATTATATGACTGTACTATAATTTACTTAATCAGTCCCATTTTAGACCTTAGTTTTTTGCTTTTATCTATCTCTAATGCAAGCAAAAGCACAAACAACATAGTTAGATATAAAACTTTTGGACTTTTTTTTTTTAATATGTCTTTATTGATTTCAGAGAGAAAAAGGGAGAGGGAGCGAGACAGACAAATCAACGATGAGACAGTCATTGATCGGCCGCCTCCTGCATACCCCCTGCTGGGGATCGAGCCCACAACTCTGGCAAATGCCCTGACAGGGAATCGAACCAAGATCTCTTGGATCATAGGTCAATGCCCAACCACTGAGCCACATCAGCTAGGCTAAAACTTTTGGACTTTTGTTTCCTTAGGATAAATTACTAGAAGTAGAATCACTAGATCAATGGGTATGTACGCTTTTACAAGATTTTCTTTAGTCTGTTTGATACACACATTGAAATTGCTGACCAGCAACACAGTGACTAGGTGAGAGTACTAGCTTTCTCTGATACAGGACTTGAAACTGTGGCTGTGGAGGTATAAGCATAAACTTAGAAGTGACCAGCCATTTTCTCCCTTGATTGCTTTTTGTCATTTGTCTCCTGTCCATCTCAGACAATTTCCTTTCTGCTTCCCCAGTGTCCACAATTTCCTTCTCCTTTCCTTGTTAGACTTTTGATATTATGTTATTTACTCTTCTGTCCACACTTACTAGGGAAACTGCTAAATTATCTAACAAGAATGTTCCACAATGCCAAATGAACAACTGTTTTGTTTTTTAAAAATATGTTTTTACTGATTTCAGAGACAGGAAGAGACCATCCATCACTGCCTCCTCTACACTCCCCCCCTACTGGGGATCGAGCCCACAACCCAGGCATGTGCCTCGACTAGAAACTGAACCGGCAAAGTCTAGGTGAACTGAACAATGCTCAACTGAGCATACTGGCCAGGGCAACAACTGTTTTAATGTACTAATAAAAGTACACAAGGAGTAATGTTTCAAACAGTTTAAAATATAGTAACAGGAAAGTATGAATATGTGTTTGCATGTGTGTATGTAAACACACACACACGTGCACACACACACAAAGGTGGGTAAAGGTAGGTTTACAGTTGCATTGTGCCATTCTTTTGAGTTACTAAAGCTATTGTAATAATAATAACCTACATGTCTTTTTCCAAATGAACTGTAAACCTACTTTTGCCCACCCCGTGCGTGTGCATAATATTAATTAGTGCTTTTGAACAACTCCGGGCATCATTCTAAATTGAGGGCTTTGTAAAGCAGACATAGCTCTTTTCTTAGGAAGATTATGGTACAGTGAGGGAGACACAATTAAATAAGGCATTTTATTCAAGTGTGATATAGAAGTGCAGAAGTACAGAGCAGGGAGCATCTACTGGCTGGAGAGGAAGGTTTCCTGGAAGTGAAATAATGCCAAAACCAAACTGTGTCTCTCTGGCCATGCCACAACCTCTCTAAAGACAAGGACACATGGTGTGACTGGAAGCAAGGCCATGGCTCTATTCTAACCTTCTCAGTTCTGTGGTCTAAGCTCTTATTCCAGCACCTGTCTCATAGATGGGAAGCAGTAGGTGCAAGTGGGTAAACAGCAAAGTGCTACCCTAAGCTCATGTCCTGCATAAGAAAAGATCAATGATTTCAAGAGCCCTTTATACTGACAGGTAGTTCTTCACCCAGGAACACTAATTTGCTTCACTCAACTTTCTCCTCCAGTTCTCCACTTACATGTCTAATAGGCATCTCAAGTGGATTCATACAAAAACAACTCCTATCTTTTCCCTTCTAAGCATTCTTCATTGGGAGTCTTTCCCATTTCAGTAAAAGGTAGCTTCATTTTCTAGTTCCTCAGGCAAAAAAAAAGATACCATTCCCACTGACTTCTCTCTTTTCCTTTCAAGTCACATCCAACCATGAAAAAATACTGTGGGGAACTACCCTCAAAATATATTCAGAATCCAGTCACTCCTTGCCAGCTCCACCAGCTGATCCAAGACACCATGTTTTACTGAGGTTACTGGAATAGCCTCCTAACCAGTCTCCATTCTTCCCTGCACTTTTGCTGTTTAGCTCCACACAGCAACCAGAGTGATCCTTTAAAATCCAAGTTAGGCCCTAGCTGGTATGCTCAGTGGTTAGAGCGTCAGCCTCCAGGCTGAAGGGTCCTGGGTTCGATTCCAGCCAAGGGCAAATACCTCAGTTGCAGGCTCTATACCTGGCCCTGGTTTAGGCTCGTGCGGGAGGCAACCAATTGATGTGTCTTTCTCGCATCTCACATTGATATCTCTCTCTCTCTCTCTCTCTCTCTCTCTCTTTTCCACTCTCTCTGCAAAGCAATGGAAAAAATATCCTTGGCTGAGAATTTAAAAATAAATAAATAAATAAAATCCAAGTTCGATCATTTAACTCTACTGCTCAAATCCTCTGCTAGCTTCCCAATTCACCCCAATTAAAAGCCAAAGATTGCACAAAGGCCTGTGAGCCCTTCCATGATCTGCTCCAGCACAACACAACCACATACATCTCTTTCTCTCTCTAGTATCACCTTCTATCCCTCTCCTCCACACCTGCTTCGTCCTCTCTGGCGATGCTGTTTTCCTTTACATTCCACAAAGAAACACCACTAAGATTCTTGCCTCAAAGATTCTGCCCTGGCTGCTCCCTCTGCTAAACCTCTTCAGATCTCTGCCCAGATGATGCATGAATTATGAGAGATGTCTTCCCTGAACCACGATAAATTAACTAACACTCACCTACAATCCCTTTCCCATTTTCCTTTTTAACTACTCCCTTTGATATTCACCATCAACATGGCATGTTTATTTACTTGTCCATTTCCTTTCACTAGAATGAATATAAATTTGCCCAGGGAGGAAATTCACCCAAATTTTGGCAAGGACATCACATGAACTTAGTAAACACTGTCCTGCAAAGGGAAGGGAAAGGAGGGAAGGGGAAGGAGAAAGAAAGAAATGGTTAGCTCTAATTACACACTTTACTACACTGTGGTGATGGTTTCCTCCCAATAAGATTGCTCTCTCTCTGAGAGAAAAGATTATGTCCTTATCTTCTCTTCCCGAAACAGAACACAGTAAGATCCTCCATTGAGAAGTAATCAATATATAACTAGTTGAGCGTGAAGAAGAGGAATCCCCAGTAAAATGAAACATTTGACATGAAAACATCATAAGTTGGATTGTAACTTGGGCACAAAGTACATTAATTTCCTGTGACTGCTGTAAAAGATTACCACAAACTTGATGGTTTTAAACCAACAGAAATGAATTCTTTCATAGTTCTGTAGGCTGAGTATGAAATCAGTTTCATGTTCTGTAGGCTAGAAGTCTGAAAACAGTTTCAAAATCATGGTGCTGGTTAGGGTCTCCCTCCCTCCAGAGGCTCTAGAGAAGAATCTAGAATCCTTGCTTCCTCTAGTTTCTGGGAGCTGCCAGCATTCCTTGGGTGCATCACTCCACTATGATCTCTGCCTCCACGTTCACACTGCCTTCTCCACTTTGGTGGTAGCACTCACTCTTTAAGGACATGTGTGATTGTATTTAGGACCTAAGCAGATAATGCAGGATAATCTCATCATCTCAAGATCCTTAATTAATCCTATCTTTTGCCATACTCTTTTGCCATATAAAGAAATGTTTCCAGGTTGTGGAAATTAGCACTTCCTCTCTTTGGGGGTCATTATTCAGTCTAATAGAGAAAGCATTTCTTGTAGAAATGAGTGAACTTACTACATGTCCCTATAGGCTAATTTTCCTTCTTTTTCACCAAAAAAAAAAGAAAAATCACGACTTTAAAACAACAAAAAAAGCCACTTGGTCCGTTTAAAGAACTTAAAAAATATCAACAATATAAGTTTTTTGATGAGCAACAATACACATAGATAGGGAGGCTGGAGAATCAATATTTTTATCCTAGACTTTGGGCACAACTTCCTGTTATCTTTAATGTGAATCAGGCTATGTTCATTTAACATATGAGAACAATTAGTGCATGTTTGAGGAAGGATAGTAAGAAGCTAGGAAAATTCCTAGCCAAGTGGAATAGGGAAACTGAGACAAGATAATTAAACAAGGCCAAACAATCTGAACAACTTATAGCCAGCTAGTGAATCGCAAGACCTCATCTTTCCTAACCAAGGATCCTTGAGCGAAAATAGTTTATACCTCTCCTCCCTAACCAGAGAATAAATAGCTTAAATCACCCTGGCCCTGGAGATAGAGAAGAGACTCAGTTAATGCCATGTGTGCCAGCCAAACCCAAAGAAAGATGAAGTCAGGGGAACAAATAACAAATTGCCTGATTAGAGCCAGAGAGACCCAAGATAAAAGTAAAACAGTAAAGTCGACCAAAGAATAATCCTAAATTCCCCTATATGCTTACTTCGATGCATCAGCATATTAAAAATGCACCTGAAAAGCTGATGACTATACTGCTGAAATCATCCCCTAAGATTCTTACCTGTAGAAGAAAGATAAAAACCCTCAAGAGCGAGGATACTAGTACAGGCTCACTCTAGAGCACACCCATGGCCCTTTTTGGGCATGAACATTTTACTTTTTAAAAAAAATTTATCTTTATTGTTGAAAGTATTACAGATGTGCCCTTTTTCTTTTACCCCATTGATCCCCTCCACCCCATATCTGCCCCACCCCCTGGCCTTCCCCATACTACTGTCTGTGTCCATGGGTTATGCATATATGCATATAAATTCTTTGATTAATCTCTCCTCACCCACTAACCCCCATCCTTGCCTTCCCTCTGAGATTCATCAGTCTGTTCCATGCTTCTATGTCTCTGTAACACTTAACTTTCTTTCTCCTAAAAGCAGCCACCCCACCTTGGGTCACTTCTATCACTGTGACTTTTACTTCCCAGTGAGCTAACAGCAGCCCCGCCTTGGGTCACTTCTCTCCTATATTTCTAGGGAGCCAAAGCAAAGCACCACCTACGCTCTCTCCTGTTGCTTCTTCTATCCTAAGTCCTTCCTTTGTTTCACTGTCCCCAGCTTTAATAAACATACTCTCAAAATCACTTGGACCCGTGTTGTGAAATCTTTCCTACACAAAGCCAAGAACTCACACACACTACAGGCCGGACAAGGTAGACCCGCTCCGCGCCAGTCCCTGCCAAGTGACATGTTCAATTTAGAGAGAAAGAGAACCTGAGTCATCTCAACCTCAGAGCCAGGAGGACCTAACCTCAAGAAAACTATGCTTGTTTTGGTAATCAGAAGCATTAATTAATACTTTTTACGCTTTCCCTTTCCAGAGAAGACTAAATTTTAAATAGGCATGTCTCTTTCACAACTTTTCTAGAATTTAATGACATAATAATGACAGCTATTATTTATGAAGCACACTATGTCAGATTTTGTGCTAAGCTCTTTATAGGCATTACCTCATTTAATTCTCCACAAAACTTATGAGAATTATTAGTACTCCCATTTTGTGGATGAGGACATTAAGTTTCAGCGAGGGTAACACAGGAAGTAAATGGAGAAGTTGGAATTGACCTCAGGTCTGCCTGACGCTAAGGTGGGAGGTTCTTCCATTGGACTAGTGCCAGGATACTTTCTCATACCAATTTTACTTCAGCTGGTCTTTACTTATTTTGTTCAGGTTAAGCTATATATTTTAAAAGGGAAACAACTTTTGGCTCTGAAGTACCTAATACAAGACAAGCACTGTGATCTATGAAATAAATGTGAATGAGTTTTGGGCCTCTTTTACAAAATAGCTAAATTTCATTTATTCAGGCACATAAAGGGCAGATAGTTATATGTCACGAATAGTCCCAAATCTTATTGATAATAAGTCTGGACCTCTCTCTACTCCTCCATTTTATTACCATGCAAGCAAGATGAATTAGTTTATCCTTTTTCCACCATTAACTCTGATGAAGAAGCTAAGGGCCTAAGGGAAATGAAAAGAGAAAGAAAACAACAGAGAAAGGAAAACCTGATGAATCCACAAAATTAATCACATGTTCTATAAATAGCCAAGGCCAACTGGGTTATGGAAAATTTTTAAAAATATTTTAAAAAGCAGCACCACTGTGAACATAGAAAAGTTCACAGTTTGTTTTTCATGGCATAGAAAAGAAAGACTCTCTTAAAATTTATGCAAAGACAGGATTGAGCATTAAATGATTATCACATGATGATAATACTCAGGTGAAAATATTTTGGTTGCAAGAAGCCATTCAAGAACTCGTATTCCTTTGGACTATCCTCAATAGGTCTAGAACAACATAGACTTATTATAAGACAAGCCAAACCACCTTGATAGAAGTCCCCCAGCCGATAATCAGTGTCACACTGTCCTTCCAGCAGAGGCTGCAGGGATACATATCTGGGCGAAGACTTATATCATCCCGGGGCACATTGGTGATTCTTTGCTTTGAGGTGATGTCAAAAATTTTCACACCCTGGAAAATAAAACAGCATTAAGCATCCTCTACTTGGGAGAAGAAAAGTAATGGAAAATACTGCTACACACAACTGATAACCAGCACTGCAAAATACTGACAGTGTTTACTGAGCACTGCTGGGAATCATGCAAAGCAAATGCTCCTACTTCACACAAACCTGTGAGAACCCCAAGCAAAAGAAAACCTCCATGCTTCTTTCTGGACTAAAGCAATTTTATCAGTGGATGGCAACAGTGGCTCAAATACAACACAAACATAAAATGTACAGATGTCAACAACTGCATTTCCAACATGACAGAAAAGTAACATTTCTAACTGTGTATCATTCCACTCATTGCAAAATGAAGTTTGCTTTTTATAAACACTTTGAAATTGAAAATCTACTATGTACAGAAAACTACACTTGACATTTAAATACTCAGATGGAAACATGGAGTAAGCAGCTAACTAAAAATAAACCAAGAGGCCACAGTTTTGTTTACCTTTACTGTGACCCAGGAAAAATGAGTCCTGAATAGCAAAGTAGATTCTGACAGAATAGAACTAATTTGCTAAGCTACACCTTGAAATTCCAAAAGCTATGCCAGATGTCAAAAAGATAATTTTTAAACTTCCTATTTGCTCTAACTTATATTAAGTAAACTGTAAGTAAATGTAGTACCAAAAATAATGATCTACTTTTTAGAAGGTAGGCCTATATTTTTCTTGTGATTATACTGGAAGTAAAATGGAATCAGCAATATTCTGCACTTGTTTCATATCAACTGTTACTTGCCCTTGGCTAACAGGCAAAAGGTATTTTCAAGTCCACATTCCCAATGCAGCTTTTCAATCATTAAGATACCTTTTCATTTTCTTGACTATTCTCCATGCCTCAGGTTTCTTCCTTTAAAATAGAGTCCAGAATATGTTGTGAGTGACTCTATTATGAAAGCCAAGAGCAATCTAATTTCTTTAACCTTCCAGGTATGATATGAATTGCCATTTGTATCTTTTAGAAATGACCACCACAACAAGTGGTATCTTTTCCCTTTGTTACAGCCCTCTCAGTTCAGCCATTCTTTTGGCTCTATAGAACCACTACAGAGATGGAGACATGCTTTTACCATATTATTGGCCCAAGCAATCAGATGGCCTCTCCACTTCACACTTCTTATGTTCCCTTCCCCTTCATGCAGAACAGAAGACTTCCATCTGCTCATCCAAGACCGTTCAAACAGTAGCAACTACGGACAAATGTTACAAAAACAGATTTTTAGAAACCAAGCAGCATGTACTAGATTCCCTTCTTACTATTTTTGCCTGGCCACTGACCAAATGACAAAGTTATTCTCAACAATTTTTAAAGTAGACTTATAGTATTACATAATTTGCATTTTGGAAAGAATTTCCATTACATTTTATCCTGCCCAGATGTATGAATGTTGAAGTTACTACAAAGTCAAGCCACAAGATGGCACCAAAATACCAAAATTCATGGACAATACTGAACATCAGTCAGTCAAAATATCTGTATCACAAAATGTTCTTCAAATGATTGCCCAAGAATTAATTTATTTGGTAAACTGGGAAATCAAAACCTCATAGTTTTCCCCTGAAAATAAGAAAATATTAGTTATAAATTAAATCACGACAGTTAGAAGCAGTCTGTTTTTCATTTAAAATCATTTTAAAATGACATTTGAGCAGTAATTTATGTCATAAGATAAATTTGCTTTAGGATTAAACTTCTTTTAAAAGCTCAGAGTAGCTACAGTCTTTATTTTAAAGGGAAGAATTTATAATAAAAATATCTGCTGGATAAGTTTTTTACCAAATATAACTGGTCCAAACCTTTAAGACTGTAGTTCTAATAATTCATGCATTATTAAGGACACAATAAAATAGTTTTCCTTGATATATCCAATTTAAATACTTTAAGACGTTTATACAAAAATATAATACATACAAGATATAATTTATACAACGTATAGCTTATGATATATAACTTCATACATAATCCTGAAATATGTTTACCTTTTTTTTCTTAATATATCTTTATTGTTTTCAGAGAGAGGAAGGGAGAGGAAGAGAGAGAGATAGAAACATCAATGATGAGAGAGTCGTCATTGATCGGCTGTCTCCTGCACACCCCCCACTGGGGCTCGAGCCCACAATCCAGGTATTTAAAACCAGTGCTGATGACATACAGAATTTTTAAAATTCCTATTATCAGAGTCAATTTCAGTTTACCTTAGTATATTTTGTGTCCCTCCCCACTCCCAGAGAAGGAGGAAAATAGGTAACAGGAGAAAATAAATCCACATTTTACATTTTTTAATATATCTTTCTCAATAGTTAGGCTCATATAGTCAGAAAGTACAAAATAAAGAAAAAAATCCTAAAATTAAATAAGTGTCCATCTTGCCCTGGCCAGTGCTGCTCAGTGGTTAGTGTTGGCCTGCATACCAAAGAATCATGGGTTTGATTGTGATCAAGGGCACATACCTCCCTTGCAGGTTCGATCCCTATTTCCAGTTGAGGTGCATCCAGGAGGCAACTAGGCCAGGTGTCTCTCTCACATCAATGTTTCTCTCTCTCTCCCCCTCCCTTCCTCCCTTCTACTCTCTGAAAAAGCAATGGAGAAAATATCCTCAGGTGAGGATTAACAAGAAACAAACAAACAAAAATGAAACCAGTAAGTCCACGCCTGGAAATTAATGATAAGAAATGATCAGACAAGTGAGTAAAGATGTTTGTAAAGTCACTTACAACAGCCAGAAATAGGCTAAAAACTGGGGAATGATTGAGTAAAATGCGGTAGAGCTACAGATATGAAGCGTATACATCCACTTTTAAATGATTTTATATACTTATATTTATTAACATAAAAAGATGTTCAGGGCATATAAAATAAAAGAGCAGATAGTAAAACAGTATTAAATATGATGACCTTTAAATAAAATATGAATGTGTATCCATATATAAAAATCTAAAGATATATTATAATTATAATTAATTCTAGAAATAAGTGATAGATTTTTATATTATTTGTTTTATAATTATTCTGCATGAAACGTGAATTATTTTTATAATGTTAATAACTATAGAGATAAAAATCCATTCTCTTATTTTTACAGTCAGGATAATTTAAGGTAACAGTTGAAACAAAACAATAAAACACTATCAAAAATTCACTGGAAGTTACAGAAAGAAGGAATGCGTGAAGCATACTGAATATGTATTAGAATTAATTCACATTAAACTGTAACTTTTTTTTTAAATAAAATAATAACTACAGAAAATTGTTAATAAAGTCTTGCAATAGCAACCAAAATCCAAATCACTCCAACTGATCCTTTCTGTTGTGGTTGGTGTGCTTTTTGGTTATGGGAAAAAGTTGAGGCCAGCTGGATCCTGGCCTCCCTTTGTCTTTTGCTCTAGCTCCAAAGAAAACTTCCAGCAGAGGGCAAGAAGAAAAGGGAGAGAATTCTGAATTCAGTCCATCTCCTGGTTGAGTCTGAGTTTCCAGAGCTGTATTACAATAAATCTTGTGTTCCATGCTCTGACATAGAATCAAAGCAGCAAAGAAGCTTCTCTTTTAATGATATTTTTGTAGTACAGACAGCACATGGCATTCTGTGCAACTGATGGTATGCTCAAAAAAGTGGGGTGAGGGAGGCTAATATACTAACTTCTATAAATGAAACAAATGTTAATTTACATTACAATTTTAGACATGACTCGTTATTTTCTGATGTTTTTCAAATAGCAGTAGTTTCAATCACTTTACCTTTATATTTTGTGGATGAAAAATAAGTAATAATCTCTATATAAATAGCTTTAAATATATTAGGAAGATCATTGTTTAAAAGAATTCTTTTCAAGTCAAATAACGTCCCCTAATTTCTTGGTCCAGTATATGTTTTAGGGTCATGCTGGTTTTATCAGGGGATAATGAGTACCATATTCCAGCCTGTTGACTGAGATTCATGTATTTGTCTTTCATCTACCAGACTGCAAATATATTGGGGATAGAGAACACATCTTATACTTTGCTAGACACGCAAGGCATAATAAGTAACAAATACTGAGTAGGCTTCCCTGGGTCTACTAGTCTTACTCTTTCCTTCACTGTTCATACACACAATGTGTTTGCTTTACGAGGATCTACATAATTCCCCAAAACCCTCATTACTTAGCCCATATGTAGTTAGTGATGTCTAGTGGAATTTGCCCTAATCTCAAAAATCTAAAGACCCTTGTGACTGTTTATATAATTAATATATATATCTTTGCTTTGCCCTGCCCAGTGTGGCTCAGTTGGTTGAGCATCATCCCATGCACCAAAAGGTCACCAGTTCGATTCCCAGGTCATGACACATGCCCAGGTTGTGGGCTCGATCCCTAGTTGAGGGCGTATAGTAGACAGCTGATCAATGTTCTCTCTTACACAGATGTTTCTCTCTTCCTCTCCCTTCCAATCTCTCTAAAATCAATAAAAACATACATTTTCTATTTTATATATATCCTTGCTTTGAGAAAGGACTCACTTATTTTGACCCCATGTTCTACTCCTGAAATGTTGGTCTACTTCCCTTTGTTCAATGCCAGAGGATATAATTTGTGTACAGCTTGTCAAAAATTTGAAAACTACTTTTAAGGCTAATCTTTCCCTATTCAGTTTAGATAACTGCAGTTCCTTTATTTCAGGGATGTCAACTCGACCTGAACAGTGTTTATCTGAAATGTGTGTGTTTGCACACCTGCAGAACGCTATCTGGGTTTGCTGCAGAGCCCACTTCTCCCCATTGTCTCTGACCTAGCCTGCTTCTTCTCTACATTACCTGCCCAACTCTTGAAGCATTCATTTCTGCATTCCCCCTCCACTCCACTTTATTCTTTACTAATGAGTCCTATTTTCCAATCCACACATAGTATAAAACTTTAAATGTCAGCTAATAATTATGGAATAATTTTCCATTACTGCCCTTTGAAACTCTCCAAATACATCTGCTGCACATGCAAGATTTGATTTATAACATTTTGTAGGACATACAGTTTCATACAGAAGGGAGAAGGACCAGATAATCCACTCTCCATTTGCTTTTTTAATCCTAATCTATGGGAATTTCAAGCAGAAACACATTGTGTGGCAGGAATGCCAAGGCAAGTTGTGCTTCAGTGATTTAAGTAAGGATAAACTGCTTTTCTTACAAATATTCTACGCTAATTTAACTACCACAAAACTATCTGCCTGTATTTCACTGACATTTAATAAAATCCATTTCTTTCTTCTAGTCATAAAACTGCCTAGAGAACTACCGAGCACGAATGTTCTACAAAGCATTTTAGAGGGTTAACTATTGAGTGAACTACCATAAAAGCAGCTGGTTAATTTATTTGGTTCATCCTCCACATCCTGTAACAGAGAATTGTCATTATCACAATACTGAGAGCAATTTAAGCTCAACAGGAGCTAAGTACAGAGAGAGAAACTGTTTCCAAAAGGTCTATTTTTTTTGTTATTGTTGGAGAAAGTATTTTAGGGCTTTATTTCCCATAAATCCACATTCTGGCAGTCAGCACTCTCAGTACTTATATTTCAATAGGAGTCCTCACATCTTCAGCAATATACTTTATTCTTCTATGTTTTGTGCTGATAAATCTATCTAGTACTTTCCTATACTACAGAGTGGTCAGGATGCACATCCCAGAATCTCCCTCACATGTGGTGAGATTCCTACAGGGCTGTAATAAAGCTGCTGATTCTGGTCGCGTAACACCTGTCATTACCCATCACCCACTCTTCCCTGATGGAGGAAAGGAAGTATGACTGGCCCCTTTTTAATCATCTTGTGATCTTTCAAGTATATAAATCACTGGACTCCTCAGGCTTCCTAAACACCAGCAACACTGCTTGCTCTCAGGCAGACAAGAAAGTAGGAAAGACTGGGCTGGGGTGTAAGGCCCTGGGCAGGTCTCAGATACCAGGTGCATTCCTACAGGAAAGACCAAGGGGCTTAGAGAACACAAGATAAAGCACTTAATCAGAGAAGATTCCAGAGTAGAGAAACAAAGAAATAAAAGCAAACCCGGAAAATTACAACATGCCGAACCAAAATAAGATTTTTCTCCTTAAAAACAGACAAAGGGAATAATGATGATAAGGACTTGTCACAGAAAGACTTACAAACCCAAAATGAGGAATGAAATTTTAAAAGTCAAGAAGGCAAGTGAGAAAAAA